AGGAACGTAGTACGTGTGATCGAGGAACGTAGTCTCTCTCTCTCTCTCTCTCTCTCTCTCTGTGTGTGTGTGTGTGTGTGTGTGTGTGTGCTTGACGGGATCGACATGCCGGGTGGAAACGGTTCAGCAGAAGTACAAGTTTGTGGTTGGTGACGAGAGGTAACCGCTGGTTTGGATGCGTTGCGGGGTGTATGACAGGACTTTTTGCGGCGCACTGCGGTACACTCGACTGTCGCTGCCGCAGCGGTGTTGGTGTTCAGCTCCGTATGGTACCTTGCATGTGGTTGTGCGGTTTGTGAGCAACTCGAGCATACCGATTGCAAATTGCTACAGGCGCCTCGGCGTCGACTGTACGGCGACAACGGAGGAGATGAAGGCCGCATACCGGCGCCGTGCACTAGAGTGTCACCCTGACGTGGTGAGCGATGATCAAAAGGCACAGGCGGAGGTGGAGTTTCGTGCTGTTTCCGAGGCATACGACGTTTTGATGGACCCGCACAAGCGTGCAGAGCATGACAAGGCTCTTGGACTGGATCGCGTCGCTGCATCGAGAGCAACGTCACCGCAGCGGGATACGACTGCTTCACCGTCGCCAGCTTCTTCTAGAGCTGCTTCGACGCGTCGGCAAAAACCATTTGTGCGGGGCGATGCCGATCGCAAGTTTCGTGAGGCGTTTCATGGCATGTCTATTGATCAGGTCATATTTCAGGAGCGTTTGCGGCAGCGGCAGGAAAAACGAAAGCTGCATGAAGCGACGGCCTCTTCTTCTTCTTACGAGGAGTCGTTGCGCCGTGTTATAGTGGATGCCGCGGAACGATTTCACGAAAAGGTGCAGCGACAGTATGGACCCAGTATGCTGCGTCATGTGAAATTGCAGACGGAACTGCCTAACGGTCCGCAGCCGCCGCCCTCTGACTACATGCCATTTCGCCCGTTTCATGGCTGGTCTGTGCCAGAGGGCGTCCGCACAGTGCCGGAACCAAGGATGGGCCCTATTTCCCACGTAAGTGAAGAAAATGTGAAATTTGAAGGGCCGCCAACACCCATGCGAAGGGATCTACCGAAGTATTTTCCAACTGTAAAGGCGCTAGACGGCTCTGTGATGGGTCGGGGTGAGGCGCTGCAACACCTCGAGAGGGAAAGAAATGCACCGTACAATATGGGTAAACTGTACTCATATCATAGACCTTACTGAAATGTGTTGTTATGCATTATTCGTGTGGTTGATTTGAAGACGCCGGCCACTTCTACCAGTAGTGATGAAGGGGGGCGGTCTTGCAGCTTGTGTGAGAAATATGCCAAGTTGCTATTGTGGTTGCTGCGTGGGAGGATAGGATAATATGAGGACGCAGTTTATGCACGAACGCGTCTGGTTTACGTTTTCACATTTTATTTTTGTTGTTTTATGTGTGGAGTTTATTCCTGTTTATTTATTCATTTGATATTATTATTGTTGTTGAACGCTTTCTTTTTTCCCCTTTCCAGCACTTAGTTTTTCGTTTGCGAACAAACAGAGGCGCGCAAAGTTAGTCAATACACGAAGCAAAGCTCAGCAGGGAACACAAAGCAAACAAACAAACAAACAAACAAACAAACAAACACACACACACACACAAACACACTGTTAGGAATAAGGTGGTAAATCAAACACGCAAAAATGCGCCGCCATGTTCTGAAAGGCTTCATGATGGCCGCTCCAGCTGCATCGGTCCTCGCAGTGCCTGCCCGAGGCATTTTCACGCCGTGGGGGTCTGTCCCGCTTGAGGAATGGGCGTCGACGGAGTCTTGGTTGAAGCGCATCACCAACAGGTCAAAGTATCGTAGCTTTGAGTTCTGCCATGTCCCAGAGGTTGAGCCTCCTCTGGGTGTTAAACTCTCCGCGGTGGAGCAGTACCTGCTCAGCTGCGTGGAGGACGACACCAACCGCCTTATGAATATATCCTGGACGTATGATTTTGACTCATTCTGGAAAGACCGCGTGAACTCTCACGATCTCCTCTATAAGGCTTTATACCTGAATCAGTTTCCGTTTTACAGGTTTTTTTTTGGAGACTGCTCAAGCAACGAGGCAGGACGGAAACACATTGAAAAAAAGCTGAATTATCTCAAGGCTGTACTGCACTGGGCAGGGAAGACGGAGAGGCGCTATACGGCTATAATGAAGGCCAGATTTACGATGCAGCGCGAGATCTGGAATTCGCTGGAGCGCGAGCGGTACCTCATGGGGTGCGTGGAAATCGTAGAATCCTTCAAGAAGAAGGTGCCAGAGGAGTTTGCTGCAAAGGCCATTGCGGAACTTGAAACCGAACTCAGCAGCATGCGGCACTGGGTGTGGGACTGTCCCAACGCGAAAAGGACATACAAGCAGTTAGCGTGATAGAAGCGTGGAGATGCTGAACATGTGGTGTCGCCGTTAGTACAAAAAGGAGGGGCTGGAGAAAGCGAGCAGCATGTATAATATATATATATATATATATATATATATATATACGTGCATAGTTGTAGAATCTTGGAACGAGCGCATGGGAGGCGGGAAAAAGGGAACGAAATCCTCAAATAAACCACTTTGTATGGTGTGGGAGGCGTGTGTTGGGGTGGGGTGTAGTAAGTGACGCGTTCACATAGTATTGTAGACAGTCTCCTCGCTTTTCTCCGTTTCTTTTTTTTTTCTTTTTTTGCCTGTCTTGCTTTCAATTGTTATTATTATTTTTTTTTGTCCTGGACCTCAAAAAAAAAAAGTAGGTGTTAACTTCATCGCCCTGAAGGAGAATGGGGTTGTGTTCATCATCATTTCTATTCGTGTCCTTGACAGTACGGTGACTTTTTATTTTCCTCTTTTTTTTTTTATTTGTATGTGTTGTTGCTGATGCACGCACTCACGCACAGCAATATGTGTGTAGGTCGTTCTTAGCAATGGGCATGCCGCAATCATTTTTGTGGCGTGTGATGCATTCCAATGCAGTGGACAAACACATATGCAAAACACAACAAAATACGACTGCGGCGTTAAGTCGATTATTGGCGGGCACACAAGAACGGCTTGCATAAGGAAGGTATGTTTCACGTGTGTGCGTGGTGTCATTCATTTTGTTGAACTGAACCATGGGAGTGAGAGAGATGAAGTAATTTGCGTCTCGGTACTGCATTCTTGGTGGGGACTGCGGCACCGTGGGGTGGCTGCATGGTATGTCTCTTCCCCGTATTTTATTTTGTATGTTTGAGCAGGCTCCCGCCAGTGGCAGTGGAGCATTCGCGTGGTTGGGGACGCACTACAATCACACCCCTATCTTGACTGTATGCGTGTTGCCAAGTCTTCTTCTGGCATTTCTTTTTTTCCCTCCTCAATTATTATTATTATAAACAAACAAACACGAAACAGCACTCACAACAAGAACGGGAAAGCCTCCGGAGCCGATAACGAAGGGACTCATTGACAGCGACTGAAGGGAGTGCCGGGGAGCTGACAGCGCACGTAGACGCAGAGAAAGATAGAACGCTGATGAAGGGTGAATTGTCTCGTTGCCTATGGGCACGCACGGCACGCAGCTGCCCCACCTTTATCTCTGTGCGTTTTGGTGCGACTGCCTCCGCTGACGATTTTCCATCGTCTGTTCTTCCCCCACACAGGGGATACGACTTACATAGCTTTAGTTCCTCATATACACCTCGACTCCCCGTTCACCAAAGGCAGAGCTACGGTACCGCTGTTATTCGTCGGTGCTTCTCCGGTCCAACTCCGAGTTTGGCGGTGGAAGCTTTGAGTTGTGCTGTGCCTGCTGTGCTGTGCCTGCAGTGCTGTCGCTCGCACATTAGTTCCTTCAAGGAGGAGGGGTACTACCGCCTCGCGCAACTGCGGGACATTCAGATAGACGAGAACTGCTACACTTTGCGCATGGCCCGTGGCGGTGGACCGGGGGGTCAAGGGGCGAACAGCAGCAGCAACAAGGTGGAACTGCGTGCCAGCGTCGTTGCTCTTAGTGAACATTTCGACGAGGAGCTAATTCACAGACTGAAGGACAATGAGCACGGTAAGGCACTCACCGCGGACGGAGCGATATTGGTTATTTCAAGCCATGAGCACCGCAGTGCACATCAGAACAAAGAGGCTTGTTTGCGCCGTCTACGGGAAATGATTCAAAAGGCCTCATGGGTGCCTCCAGTGGAGGCGGGTTCCATCAAACGCCCCACAACAATCATAACGGCGCACAAGGTGGAGCGGCGAAAGAAGGGTTCATTGAGAAAGATGCAACAAACAGCACGCAAAGGCCTCTGGTGATGGGAGGGAGAAACTTTGCTGGTGGCTGTTTTGCGTGGCGTGGAGTAAGTCTTGCACGCTGCTGAGCTGCTTTGTTTTTCACAATGTTTTTTTTTTTTATATTCAGTGTCTTTCAATTTTTTTTTGTATATTCCGCTCGGAATGGCGTGACGTCGTCGCGTCTTATTCTTGCCGCTTTTGCGTCTTCCCCTCTTCCTCTTTTCTGCTGGTGATGGTTTCAAGGGCAGGAAACGAGCAAACAAGCCGTAGGGTGTGAGATAAAGTTAGACATTTTTTTATTGCTAGGAACTGAAGAAATGCTGAAGCGGTTCCCCAGGCGACTTGCGCCGCGTGCAAAGAATCACGCTGAATTAGTAAAGATGTGGAAGGATAATTCACATGTGGTGGAGAAAGCCAAAGCGGAGAGTGGCTTGCAGTTTCGCGACACCCGGCCGCCTCTGATGAATGAGTCCGATGAGGCAAAGCGTCGTCGCCTCATCTATCAGTCTGCCTATCGCGGCATGGTGGAGATGGATATCATTCTGGGTGTCTTCTCTCGCAAAAGTCTCAAAGAGATGCCACGTGAGCAGCTGGATGAGTACGACATGATACTCCGACACTTTGATGACGATTTATACAAGTGGGTTGTGATGAACGAGCAGCCGCCTGCAGCTGTGGCAAACATGCAAACGTACAAGGCCCTACAACAATTTGTGGAGGAGGAGAGGGAAAGCCTTTTGGGGCCAATTGTTTAGCAAACCCCACTCACCGTGTAGATGGTAGGAGGGCATTTGGAAGGACCCGCATAGAATTGAGGAGCCAAGAGCAAAAAGACGACGGAAAGACACACATCTATACCAAAACGAAGAAAAAAAACATAACCGAAAGAAACATGTATGACTGCCTCGGCTGGTGAAGTACGAAGTGGCCACGAATTCCCAAGGAGATTACACGCCTTGGCTCCGTGACTCTTATACTGCATTGGATACAAATGTTGCGTGTTCGTGCCGCAACGGTTTATTGTTGCCTTGATTTTTGCATTTACCCTCAAATTCCTCCTCCCCTCTTGCTTTTTTTTTCTTTGTTGCTTCCTTTGGCTCAGCATCTTTTGGAGGCGCACCAGGCAACACCGTTATATCCCGCCCCTTGCACGGCGTTCGCATTGGTTCCCTCACTGCACCGTGACCCTCTCTTTCTTCATTGCGCCGACACCCAGGCATCTAGTTGAACCTCTTCTATCTTCTGACTCTGACATTGCTGTGTTTTGCTTCACTATCACGTGCTGCTGGTGGTGACGTGGTTTAGGGCTAGAGGAATCAACAGCAGAGCTGCGCGAAGAAAAGCAAGAAAGAAGCACGAGTGAACCATAGCGATAGCGTTTGGGGAAACGTAGCCAAGGAAAGGTATATTAATATTTTGTTGGGGAATATCCGAAACTGGCTGGGTCATAGGGCACTTTGGTTTACAGCTGCCGTCTAATCCTAACATCTTTGGCTGGAATTCACTGCTCGGAGTGGCAGTCGTTTTCAACATCGTTATGCCTATGAAGGGTGATGCAAATGAATCTCCCTACCGTCGTTGGTGTGTTAGTGTGGCTTTGCAGTCGTTCTGCGGAGAGCCGTGGGCATTGTCACGTGGTCAAGGAGGTTGTGACCACAGCGACACGGGTGGGGAGCCGGAGCATACTGATGCTGCAAGCAGGCAGCAAAAATTAGATGCCATGACACATATTGCCGGCGCTCCACTGCAGTTGTGTGAGAATTGCGCCAAACAACATGTGAACGACACCGAAAGAGAAGAACACCTTTTGCACTTGTTGGACGTCTTGCGTCAGTACAACTCCAACGAAAAGCTGTTGGAACACACAACGGATGTTCTGTTTGCATTGGAATCGCCCACGCTGACAGGGACCTCTGAACATGTTGAGAATGCCCTAAAAGAGGAATGTGGTGCCCAAATGCATTACGAACTACTCACCCCTCTGGACCCTCTTGTGACGACGGTGTTGTCCCCGGCAGTTTCCGTTGTAACAGATGAATGTTTGAATGCCATGGTGCTTGTATATGGTGCCACTCAAGAAATGAGGCAATTTGGAGTGATAGGAACTCCTGAGAAGTGTGGGTTACTCCCACAGGGAATTTTTATGGTGATGAACCGTACTGTGGAACTTCAAGAGCGAGAGCTTAATGCTATGTCACACCCTTTAGCGCCTTCAGCAGTATCAGAAGCGGTAGAAGGCAACAATATTACGACTTCCACCAATGACGATTTTGGTGTTATTGGGACGCATTCTTTCGTCCGTGCCGAGTCTACATTTATTGCTTTTGGTGCCACATGCATTGTGGATCTTCTTGATTTGAGGAACGACCATGTGGAACTTGTATTGCACTTGGAAGGCTCTCCGTCAGCGCCACACCATGACGAGGGTATAAAAACTTCTCCAGGACTGAGCGGGGACATGCCAGCTGATGCCCACGTGTGTCATGCTCGAACAATGCCGGCTGAGCACGCCAATCATGCCTTGGAGGCACTTGATATAGGTCTTGGAAACTTCACACGTGCCACTGAAATGGGATTATTGCATTCGGACGCAGGATCATCACTCCTCTTTTCATTAACACTCTTCACGGATGACTGTCGCTCAGCAACCTTCCACTTTCTTTGCCTTGCTGAGGATGCAACTGTGCAGAATTGGTTGGCTTCTTCCACGCTGGCACACAGTCAGGCGATACCCGATGGGGAAAAGCCTGAATGGCCAACCAGACAAAACATGACGTTTCCAGAAGTGCCGGACCACAATACCGTGACCATGTTAGTTCCCTCGCTTTCCTTTGGGAATCTTTTAACCTCGGTGCTTGTCTGCGGTTATAATTCTATTATAGCTCTTCAACGACTCTCTAGGGATCTCAATTTTGCCGTGACAGGGTGTCGCGTGATGACAATGCCTCAATTCACCGATGTTAAAGGACAGCGTTCCTATCAGCCATTACCACCTGAATGGGAAGAGGGCGTCACGCAAGATGGGAGGCGTTATTATGTCGAAAAATCAACAAAACGCTCAACATGGGATGATCCGCGTATCGAGTTGAAAGAACGACGTAAAAAAACTCCATTGGATTGTTCTGATGACCCACAGGAAGAGATAGGGTTTGCCATTCCGGCGATGCGACAGCCGCTTCACATACCACTTAACAAGGAGGACAAGGCATTCCTTGATGAAGATCTTCGAAATGCGTGCAGAGGAACGTTACCCAGCACGAAGTCGAAGTCTGAGGAGCCGCCATACAGAATCGTAGTTGTCGACACGGGAAATGAGCAACACGTGTTGCTGGGATCCACGCCATTGCGGCAAACGGATGCGACGCAGATACCGAGTATCATTACTTGCACGGGAGTTGAGACCCATGTGATGGGAGAGATTTCCTCTAGAGCTGACGCGGCTCCCAAAACGTTGTGCGGCGGAGAATTGGAGGCGGGCGTCAAGGATGACGGCTCGATTTTTCCTGCTGACAGCGACGAAGAAGAGGAGGAGGATAATAGTAAAAAGGTGATGGGGGTCGATGAAGCAGACCGTACGGGTCACGTGGTGTACGAGGTAGAAAATCTTCAGTTTGAAATTCCAAACAAACCATGTGTAGAAAAAGAAGACATGACAGAGGAGGCCGCAGAGGGAGGAGAAAGTGTCACAGCACCCGAGAGTCAAGCAAAAGTAAAAAACATTTGTACGCGTTTGGTGCGAGGTGCCGAGGGCAACGCCTCAGTAGGTACTCCCAGGAGCAATAAAGATGATGCTCCGTTATCTACGTCGGAGGCTACGACTACTTGTGTCCGCATAACTCCAGAAATGCAGGAATTGGAATCCCTGGTGGAAGAGTTTTTTCATTTTTATGTGGCAGCTTGTGAGACAAAGAAACGTGTTGAGCATCTTGAGCAAGAGATGGCTCGCATCCAAAAAGAGTTGGAAAATAAGAAGGAAATGGAGGATGAACTGCGTCGTGAGAGGGATCAGGTTAAACTGCTTCGTGAACAGCTTGCTGCGGTGCATGCCACACAAGGTGGAGCACTTAAGCCGCTTGAGCAGAGTGAGACAAGTCTCATTGAGGTGTGAAGTGGCATGTAAGATGTATACACTCACATTTACCATTGGCGTGTTCGTCTAGATTTTAGTGGATGTTATTTATTTATTTATTTATTAAGCGCAAAATCTGAACTTCCAGAAGATGTGAGCGCCGCAAATAACAGCGGATATTATTTTGCTCGTGCGGGCGCAAATTTCATCTGCATGATGTACACATTTTTGCTATTTTGCAATTGGTTTGCCGTCACTTTATTTATTGCTCTCTGTGTCGGGTGCATCGTGGATTGTGATACTCTTGCTTGGCAGCGAGAGGCTGAGCTTTTCCACCGAGACGTTGGCTTGCCACAGCGGCACCATCACCATCACCACTACCAACAACAACAAAACGATTATTCTCTGCGGTTTTTGTTTTGACCAAAAGAAATGGTGTAGGTGGTCGCTGCGAAAGAAAGGGAAGAGGCTCAAGTGAGTGATTGCACCCACGCAGTCTCATGCACTACCACACTGGGGATCAGTGGAAACTGCGGAGTGAGTGCAGAGCGAAAATGAAGGAAACAAATGCGTCGGAGAGGGACAAAATAAACTGCTAAAAAGTAAAGGAGGATGACAGACTTGCTCTTCAACAAAAGCCAACATGGAGGGGGCACAGCGGGTTTTTTTTTTTCTGTGTTATTGTTTGTGAAACGGGCTTCATGGGGAATGATGATTGATGGTGCGGAGATGATAACCGGCGTCGTTATCCCTTTGGGGTCTACTGCTCCACTGGGGGAACCGCCGTAATCTCTTTAACTGTGCATGGTGAAGGAGAGGTGCGAAGGAAGTTTTAAGTTTTTGCTTCAAAAAATAAAATTAGTAAGAATATTTGTAAAAAAAAAAAATTGTTGATGGATGTGGGAGAATACAAAAGTGGTGACACAAGGCACATATATATGTGAGCGTATGCAACGTGTAGTAGCATGCAAGTGCGAGCCAGGTGTGTATGTGCCCGTGTGTGCTTGGGGGGTGGAAGACTGCAGGGAGGTTTGGTTTGGTGTTCACGAGGAATGAAAATGATTTATGGAATCCTCATGGAAATAAAGTTATTCATAAAACTGTTTTTGTTTTTAAGACTAAACTACACCATGGCTGTCACAACCACCGCGGTCGTGTCTTTTATTTCTGAAGGATGACGAGAAGTGGGGAAGCTGGTGAAATGATTTTATAAGTTGTGCTTGTTGAGAAGAAACGCATGACAAAAAAAAAAAAAACGAAGAAAGGAAAAAAAAAAACTGGTTATGTGAAGCATGAGTGGGAAGGAAATAGGACGGGGAGATATATATATATGTATGTATATATATCTGAGTATTCCTGTCTTTTCGTCTGTACCACCCACATTCTGGGTGTGACTTTTATTATTATTTTTATTTGTTTTTTCCTTCTATTTACGACCAATTCTCAATTTTTTTGTTTTGTTTTGTTTTGTTTTTCGTTTCGTTTTATTTTGTTTTGTTGGTGCAGGCACCTATGGTTGTGCTTGTTTTGGATATATATATATATATATATATTTATCCGCCTGTAATTTGTACTTGTGGAAGCCTCTAGTTGTTCATTTACGTGTGTGAGTGTATGTGCCATTGTCGCCACCCTTCTCCTGCGGCGAGACGAGTGGTTCCCCCCCCCCCCCCTCCCTCCCCTCATTAACTGATTGAGACACTTCTTTGCGGAAATTATCTTTTTAAAACAAAACAAAAAAAAAACAACTCCTTCCC